GGAATAAAAGAAACAAATATTTACTCCATGTCTGTAGACTAAATATTTACCATTTATTATACTTTTTGCATTTTATCAAAAATTAATTTCATATCCACAGTATTTAAACAGAATTTCTTAAGAGGGATTTTGTATTTTTGTTCTTTCCCAAGTGTTACGAGGATCGAATTATTTTTACTGAATCTGTCACGCAATCCCAGACTTTTCTAGAATTATCTATAATCTGTAATATTCCAGAAACTTCTTTCATGTGACTCAGCAGTTTCCAAAAATAGTACAACTTGTAATACGCTATAAATAGTAATAGAACATTCTAGATAACTAAAGTAAATGTATAAAAGCTGGCTTGTGAGAAGTACAAAAGAGATTTGCCCGAGGGCTTACCCTCGTGGCTTGCTGACTGAACTTTTGGAAGCTATGATATGACGAGGCTATGACCTTTTGACCTTGCGATATCCGGAGAGAAGAAAGAGATGAAAAAGACGATAGTCGAGAGAGGAAGAAGATAGAGAATACAGAGTTTACTATGGAGTCCTCTGGAAGAGTTTGTGCACGAGGAAAGAATGCCATAAATCAAGAAAGCCAAGCGCTGTGGTCTTCAGTCGGCGGATGTTGGAATTGGAAGCTGATCAAGACGACGAACACTTACACGGCATGAAGGATTGTAAGCCTACTTTATGAACTGCTTAACTTAATATTTAACCTAAATAGTTGAAATGGGTTACTGCTTGTTGTTACATTTTTGTTGTGTGCCATATATCGTACTCGGGAGTCTATTTTCATATGTGCTTTGTTAGCGGACATTTGTCGGTCATTTGTGCACGTAACAGCAGTAAAGCACTATTTAAGCAATAGTGAGAATCAGACCTGAAAAAATTCAGGCTTGTAAAATTTGATGGCCTGCTCGGACCTAAATTTTTTCAGGTCTTATCTCACTATTGCTTAAATAGTGCTTTACTGCAAGGATCGTGCACATATATATTTCTATATTCTTAGAATTTAATTGCGTTACACAATTTGACAGTTGTACCCACTGAGATAACGTAATTGTCAAGTTGGTCGCGCGCTCAGATAACATTTTAATTTATGCGCTACAAAAATGAGAGCATTTTAGTTTAGTGTATAGTCTTTCCTTGAAAAAAAGGTTTTCAGAACAATGGGTCTTCGTTTTAGACCAATAGGTCTTCGTTTTAGACCAACGGGTCTTCATTTTAGACCAGTGGGTCTTCGTTTTAGACCACAGGGTCTTCATTTTAGACCACAGGGTCTTCATTTTAGACCACAGGGTCTTCGTTTTAGACCACAGGGTCTTCGTTTTAGACCACAGGGTCTTCGCTTTAGACGACAGGGTCTTCGTTTTAGACCACAGGGTCTTTTTTTAGACCAGGGGGTCTTCGCTTTGGACCACTGGGTCTTAAGTCTTCGGTCTTTGTTTTTGGGTCTTCGTTTTCGACACATCCCAGCATTTTGCCAATTTACAATGTTATTCAATTCCACAAGACAAATGGCACTTGTATTTTTAAAATTTTAGACAGTCTGCCATTATCTTACGTTACAACATGTTCAACATGTTCAACATGTTCAACATGTTAATAGGAAGTAATCAAAACACCGCATTTATCCGTGTATAACTCAACCCCCCATTTTCAAGGTCAAAATGGGAATTTTCTAGTTAAAGAAAAATTCAGACCGATAGAAATTTCCCAAATGGTTTATCTCTTATTTCTGAGAATGTATTGAAAACACAGTGAATTAAAAAAAACTGCAGAGCAAAATATAACCGTGTGTTGCAATATGCCATTGCATGTTGCAATTGGTCATATTTGTTTAGATCGTTATTCCCAGTACGCACCACTCTTTTATTCATATGTAATTAGCTATAGATTGCGCTAAAAAATTATTATTCATAGTGAGTGTGAATGTTTTTCTATTGTAGCATCAAGAAAGCGGTTAGGACGCAGAAAATAAAATTTAACTCTCATCTCTAGGAAAGGTTGTTTTGTGCGGATATATTTCTTCATGCCGGTGACAAAAAAACCCCAATGAGGAAACAAGTTTAGTAGCACTTGTTTACATCACCACGATTCACGATTTAAACAGATACAAGCACTTCGATTTACTGAAGTAATTTACCATATTTTGTAAATCGCTTTGAAAATGAAATCTTCGTGCACTTAAATAACCTTTATCTTAATGTTGAGTTTGAGAGGAGATTTAGTAGACCGAAGGAACACCGAAGAGCTTTGGAGGATCGCCTGATGAAAACGAGCCAGTGGAAACAGGCACAAGTGAAATGTCTTCACAAGAAAGGGAGCACTCTTGACTGCGGAAACTACAGGCTGATTTCCCTTCTCAGAATTCCGGGCAAGCTGTTAGAGAATGTAGTCAGCCAACAACTTGACAACTTCTTATATGGCAACAATCTAATTTCAATAAATCAATGGGGCTTCAGAAAAGGAGGCTCACCTGAACTTCTTTTACTCTCATTAACAGAACAATGGCGTTTAGCCCTGGATGAAAGCAATATTATTGGCGTAGTCTTTATTGATTTTCAAAAAGCGTTTGATTGCGTCAATCATACAGTTCTCAAGGATAAATTACACTCTATAGGCATTACTGGCTCCTTTTACGATTGGCTCCTAAATTACCTTGAAAATCGAAAACAATTTGTCACTGTGAATGGTTCAAACTCAGAATTGTTGGAAATAGATACTGGTGTGCCCCAAGGGTCTTTACTTGGTCGCAGACTTTACAGCATNTGTAACCTTACATCTCATCTAACGTTTAAAGCGACATATCAATGCTTTCAACCATTGTGTTTTATACGAACCTCCCAAACTTTTAAACTCGTTCTCTTGTGATACCTGCGAAAGTATTTAGTATAATTTCCGGTAAGATTTCGCGGACAATCTGATCGATTTCTCTTACATTGTGTGCTGAGACTGAAACTTTTCCCCTCAGGCAAAGCTTCGTCGCACGGCCGAGACAAACATAGCGAGCAACAGGCTTGTTCAATATGTGCATGTTAAAACACACGAAAGGACTCCAAACGACACTTCACTCTGATTGGGCAGAAAAAAACAAAGATTTTCTGGCACCAATCAGATGCCAGAACGACTGCGACCGTTTGGAACTAGTCTTGAAGGACAATGTCCCCAGGGGCTCTTCTGCCCTTAACTTGAAATCGACTCACTGCCCCTGGGTCTCCGAGGATGGGTTTCAGGCAACTGTTATGCTAATTTCTTGGATTGCTTGGGTCAGGTCTTTGTATATGACCCGTGTATAAGTCGAGGGTGATTTTTTGGGCTGAATTTTCGGTCATAAAAGGTCACGTATACAAGGATAAATACGGTCACGGTAATATGAATTACAGTAAATATTTGAAAAGTTGGTAAAACATTTTAGTATAATTTCAGAGCTGAGCAAAGAGTTTCCAGCAATCTGATTGGCCCAGCGGTTCCTTATTTGACGCTATATAAACCGTTCCACGCGGTTTATAGAAAACATTGAAACAAAATGTTAATAAATGTTACTAAAATGTTATAATTTTAGAAACTTCTCTGTTGTTCAGATCTGAAATTATACTAAAACAATTATTTGCCTCAGGTTCGGTGAATATTGTCGAATAATCCCCTCGACTTCGTCTCAGGGATTATTCAACGATATTCACCTCGCCTTTGGCAAATAATTGTTAAATACAAAGGGTCATGACATCATCAAATTATGTCAATTAATAAAGTGTTTTTTGTATTTGCTACTGTAGGAGGTAGTAACTACCCTACAACTTTTCTGGTGTTACTGTTAGTATTAAATAGTAATGAATACAGTTATAGCAAAACAATTTTGTCAACTTACTTTGTCCATAGACAGGTTCTAAAACCCGGGAGGCTAATACAACAACTGTAATCAAAAGTAAGGCGAAAGTTAACCTTTCAATCCCATGAGTGACCAAGACAGAATTTCTCCTTACAATATCAATACAATATCAAGCAGACTAGTAATGAAAATAAAGAAAAATTTCTATTCATTAAGGGATTACTGGTTGATCTAAAACCTAATTCCCATAATTAACATCAGAATTATGTAGCTGACAGAAAGGAGAAGAACTGGTGAGATCTCTAATGTCAGATTTAGCAGGCAAGGCAGGCAACACAACAAAACAAAAACATCGCAGTCCTGTTTGCCTGACCGAACCCAAAACAAAGACAACAACAAAGCATAACACAATAATATTTTGGTGCCATAAAATGTGGATTTAAATGTAAACGTTCAACCCTTCATTTACATAGTATTAAAAGTGCTTCGTTCCAAACCAGATTACATCTTAATCGTCGATGTACGATGGAGGATTACACAAATGAAGGCACAAGACTGAGCTTTCGATAAAGTTTGCAAAATAAACAAAATTAAGTCTCGAAGGGTGTATCAGAGTAATTTTAGACACTATCGAGTTTATAAGGACCACGGGGAAGTCTTACTTTCGCTCGCAGCGGCATGCATTCGATCGATCAAAGTCACCAAGTTTACCCTTTTGAGTCAAATATTGTAATTTTCACCCAAAAGTTTATTAATCGACGGAGTATCACTACGATTTACTGGAGAAGTAATTTACCATATTTTGTAAATCGCTTTGAAAATGAAATCTTCGTGCACTTAAATAACCTTTATCTTAATGTTGAGTTTGAAAGGAGATTTAGTAGACCAAAGGAACACCCATGCATTTGCTCGATTAAAGTCACCAAGGTTAGCTCTTCTTTACCCTTTTGAGTCAAATACTATAATTTTCACCCAAAAGTTAATTAATCGACAGAGTATCAGCATTGTTTTTGATATCCTTCGAATTGCATGCAACTTCGTCGATCGCATCAAGTCTAAATTTAGCAACTAAACCACAAAACAACATAAAATTTAAATACATAGGATGCACGATCCTCGCAGTAGATAGCGCTATTTAAGCAATAGCGAAAATCAGACCTGAAAAAANCAGGGTTAGGGGTAGGAGACGTTAATTTCCCACGCACGAGATTACTGTGTGATGAATGTCCTTCCCTGGGGTGGGATGGGTGGGCTGTTGTCTTGCGTTTCATACACGAGCCTCCGGCTTGGGCAATATGAGTAACCATGCCCCACGTAATGACATTAAACTTTGATTACTATTACTATTACTATTACTATTACTATTACTATTACTATTACTATTACTATTACTATTACTATTACTATTACTATTACTATTACTATTACTATTACTATTACTTTGACGACAAAAGTTAACCACAAGATGTCTCAGCTAATATCTAAACTTCAAACAAATAGAGCAGATGCATAACTCTAAAGGACGCAATAACAAAACTAACTACATAAAAGGGATTATATATTAAACTAAGTGAAAGGCCATTTTTTAAAAAATAATTGCTCACCCAATGAATTTCATTCAAAACAGCATACAGGTATCTGTTACTCAAAATTCTAAAATTATCTAAATTCTGTCATCAATATGACCAGGCAAACTTTCTCAAATGACATTCTCAGCCTTGTTTATTTTCCAAAAGGCATCAAAATAAGATGGAACTACAAGAGGAAAAACCAAAAGTTACAGAATGTCTATTGAAAATAGTTGTTCCCAAAGTGATAGATGGTCATTTATTGCATAGTTTTGTCCAATGACTAAGCAATCACTTTATGGTACATGAAAGCAGCTTTTTGGTTACCTGCAGAGCAATTATTGCAAGATTTAAGGCAGGTGAACCTTTATCCTACATTCCTACCTTAAATACGAAATGATCACAATAGAGAAATTATAAAAAACAATTGGAAAGTTGATGAAACATAAAAGGAAGGGTCATGAAATTATGAGAAGATGTGGATTGATCAAAAGAAGTAAAAAATCAATGGGTGTTCTTTAAGGTGGCTGGTATCAGTTTTCATCTTTTTGATGGTTTGAAACTTTGAAAGAACACAACAAAAAGACTGACCATGGCCAGTTGAACACTTCTACAGGGTTGAATTATATAATCATTGGTTATTCAAAAATAGGTGTCATTTCGTCACTAGCAGTTTCCATGGCAATGCTATCATAGGTTTATCCAGACGCATTTTTTAGCTTGTGGCTTAAATAACTCGAAAACTAACCTGGTGACCCCATGTTTTTTTTCAGTGATTGCATTTGGCACTTGAAAAGGAAAATGCACAAAGATTTTAAAAAAATACTATGGAGCGGAATTTCAAAAAATCTAGAAAAAAGCCAATTTTCACACCGCGCAAATTTCCTTCTGTAGAATTTTCTACTTTTTTTTCTGATGATTCCTTTCGACGTTATTATCATATTGGAAAAATAAAAAGAAGGGGTCACCGGACTTGTTTTCATGCAATAACTTTCGTGAGTTTAGCAATTTCCATGTGCGTTCTCGCGCATTTAAAAATCTGGATTCTATAAGATTGACATTTGCTCATGATCTGTTATAGCTACCGCTGACAATTGCGTGTGCTCGCGTGAGTGCCTACGATCTGATGTTTACATACGTAAATTCACCTTTACTGCTAAGAAAATCATTAAACAGCTGTCAAAGACAGCCTCCCGGGCACATCTTAAAAATCCTACACACGACTTCTGGCTACATCATTATTATTTTCCTTGAAGTTTCAAAGTCTTCTTTCACTTCAGGTAGATTAA